CTGGTCTTACAAGGAATCCAGCAATGTCAATTATATTTTCCTAACTTTAGTTTGAGGTTATCCCACACATCTCCTTGGGACGGTTGGTGGGGAGGGGGACCGACCAGCCATCTGTGCTGTGTGGTGAGGGAGGGGTTGAGTCCATGTTTGATGGACATTAACTTGGCGACTATGTTCTCTGTTTCTCAAGTATTAATTGTGTGCATGTACCATCATAAAATTAAGATGTTATTTTTACTACAACATAGGTATGTGCCTTCAAAAAGTGGAGTTTGGGGGTCGGGCCGGTTTCTATTGGAATTAATCCCATATGTTCTGTTGTTCACTTAACGCGGATTTCACTTAACGCGGGACCCTCTGGGTTCAATTGACCGCGTTAAGTGGGGTACAACTGTACTCGTACATCACAGAGAGTGACTTGGCTCTGCAAGGGACGACCCAGGTGGAGTTGAGGCACTCTTTTTTTCCTTACTTAATGATCTGGAACAAATAATTAAACACCCTACAGGTGTTCCAGATCGACACAATCAACTTGCTAACAATCTTGATCTTTGTTTTACCTCTAACCCCTCACACTATTCATATGCAATTTCTGCCCCCTTGGGGTTTTTTGATCACAATCTTAATTCTATTAATCAAACTGGGCATGACCACCTTCCCCACCACCCTCTTAACGCCAACTAGGGCACTATCGGAGGGCAAACTGGCAACACTTGAGAGAATTATTCTCTGACTTTCCCTGGGATGAATGTTGCTTTTCCACCCAGGACGCCTCGGTATGATCTGACAGCATTGCTGGGGTTATACAGGGCGGTATGAGTGCATTTATCCCATCTTCTTCCATAACTTTCACTTTACAATCATGGCTTGATCGCTCCTGTTCTCTTGCATGTAGGGAGAGAGATAGAGCATATCACGTTATGATAGAACAGTATTTTCTCGATTAACAAACTAATTCGATCCACCCCTTTCCGTTAAATTGAAATTTCTGCTAAATCAAATTTACATTATTTTCACTTGATTTAATGAACTAGTTCACTAAATTGAGCATGATTCCATTAAATTCAGTGCCAGATATGCAGCTCAACGCATGGGGGTTGTTTACATCTGCTCAGTCTGTGTCCTGCCACCATCGAGTGTGTTGTTCACTGCTACCTCTCGGTCAACTAATTACTGTGCTTAGACTTCATGCCAAAAGTCTCTCAGAAGTCGCAGAAAGGAAGTGGTGTGGAGGAGAAAGTCAAAAGAGTGCAGCTATATATTGGTAAAAAGTTTGGAAATAATAGAAAATTTGAAAACAAACACCAAACCCCACAGCTTAAGGTAAACTATGAATAATGTTTCTAATGGTCCTATGCACATATCATGTGTTTGACGTGTCTCTGTAGTTGCGAGAGTATTTATGGAATTAATCTCGATTTGGCGAACTAGTTCACTAAAGTGAGTGAAAAATAATGGAAAAATTTCCTTCCGCCAAATCAAGAGTTTGTTATATCAGATTCTGTTAAATTGAGTGTATACTGTACCTGTATCTCCATCTCCTGTTACTCACTCCTCTTTCATTATTTCTAGGAATCGTTGTAAGGTTATTCTTTGTATGGCCAGGAGGAATTTAATAAAAAGAAAGACCGCTGTCATGACTAACTCTTCTTGTAGTAGATCCTTCTGGTCCTTAACCAAAAACAACTATAATAATTTCTGAACTGGTTACTCTATAGCCAACTCTCCCCCTGATAAAGCCAATCTCGTTGGCACCTTATTCTCCTAAAACACCACCTTAGATGATTCCAACTCTCCCCCTCCTACTGAACCTATGCACTTTCCTATAATCTCCACTCGTAGGGTTGCTGGTGTGTTATCCAATCTGAATGTGAGTAAGGCAAATGGACCAGACGAAATACCCCCTCATGTTCTGTGGGAGTGAGCTGAAGTTCTGGTCCCTGTGGTTGCTCGCCTCAAAACCCAAACCTTTCCTTCTTCTTGGAAGCATGCCTTGGTTCAGCGCATCCCAAAGAAGGGTGACCATTCTATTCCTTCTATCGCCCCATTGCCCTAACTTCATCCCTCTCTAAGATTTTCGACACTATCTTAAGCTCTCATTTTCTTTGCCATCTTGAATGCCTTTTTCTTTTGTTGGATCACCAGTATGGATTTCAACAGGCGAGATCTACTGGTGATCTGCTCTCCTACTGCACCCATCTTTGGTCATCCTCTCTTGAGGATTATGGGAAATCTTATGTTGTGGGCCTAGAGAACTCCAAAGCATTTGACAGGGTATGGCACAATTCTTTGCTTTCTAAACTTTCCTCTTATGGTTTCTCTCTCCCACTTTGTTTTCTTATCTCTAGCTTCCTTGAGAACCAAGGGCAGTTGGTGGGCAGTTATTGTCAAGGGATCGATCTCTCGCTCTTTCTCAAGCAATAGTGGTGTCCCACAGGGTTCTGTTCTTTCACCAACTCTCATCTTTCTTTTTATCAACAATTTAATTCACACTACTACTACTAATTCTATCAACTCTTATCCTGAGGTTCTATTCTTTACTTTTTCTTCTCATTTCACAAGCTATATTTTTTCAAGAGCTGATATCGTGTCATCTATCACTGAAGATTTGTGCAGCATCTCTGAATGAGGAGGTAAAATATTTTTAAATTGAATACAGGAGTAATAAAACAAAGTATTTACCAATTTAACTTTCCAAAATAGAAGATCTCCCACCAATCACATTTCAGGATGCAAATTCTAAAATAGATATGCTATGCCTTCCCATTTCCTCAAATATGTCATGGAAGCCACACATCCACAACATTGCTAAGCTGCCTCCCGAAAGCAGGGAATGCTGTAAAGATGCCATAGCTACTTCACTCTAAGCAGTTGCTTTAAGTTTATAAGGAATTCATTCGTCCTAATTTGGTGTACTGGTCTCATATATGGGGTGATTATTCTTTGGTCCTACTGTTAGATAGGATGGAATCAAAGGAATTTCGTCTTAATAACTCTTCTCCTTTAGTCGAAAATCTAGCTTCCCTTTCTCTTCGCTGCAATGTTGCTTCACTCTCTCTATTTTACAGGTAGTTTAACAGTCAATGTTCGGTGGATTTGGCATCCTGTGTGCAGTCGGCAAGGCAGTGGGCTCATAACACTTGTCTTGCCCGCAGTGCCCACCGTTTCTGTGTGAATGTTGGTCACACGAGGATAACCCGTTATATTACATCCTTTTTTTCTTCACACAGCCAAACTGAGGAATGCTCTGCCTTACTTTGTGTCTCCATACTCTTACAATCTGTCTCAATTTAAAAAGCTGGTTTTCCATCATCTTCGGTGTGTAGATTAATATAGCTTTTTCTCTACTAATTTTAATTTCCTTTTACTCTTATTTACTCTGTATACAGGGGGAGGTAATTACTAACCAGGAGAGCATGAGAACACTGGAAGCGCAATACCCGGGGGGGCTAGCCCGGCTTGCCACCCCTCAGGACAGCTCTGCCTTCCACTTTTGTACTTTACCTTTACTGAATACCTCCCATCTGAGGACAGGCTCATCTCTGATATTTTTCACAAAACTTTATCTTGAGTCGAAATGAATAACTAAGTTTCTGACAGATTCAAGTACAGTAGATGCAACCATGTGCCTCCAAAATCAAGCAAACAAAAACCTTTCATGAAGTCTCAAGATCATTCTGTATTTTTGAGATCCATTAAATGTTTAAAACCTCTAAGAATGATTCACAAACATTAAAATTTATCCATGAAATTATAGGTAATAAAATTTTACATGTAGTAACCATTGTCAGTATTTGTGTAAAAAATTTCATTGTGACAAAGAAATACTTTTCACTTCTAATTCATAACTACTGGGTAGTTTCTATCATTCATTCAAGCCTTTTCCCACTATATTGCATGGTGGCTGGAACCAAAAGTACATGCAGACTCATTCTTCATTTGCTGCCATTCAGTCACTCTTACTGCTGCAATAGATGTGTTGTGTTATGGTGTTTCTCTTCTACAATAAGGCCCCAAGATATCTATCTGGTTCAACCTGCTTTCTTTGCAATATCTACAGGTATAGTCTGTTTCCTTTAAGTTTGCAACTGAGGCCTTGGGTGAGTTTGTAGCAAAGCAACTGCTTGTTTGGCAGATGGACACCCAAAGAGTCACGACAGTACTTCAGTATTTTCTCTTTCATATTTATATTTTTATATTTTAAAGGATAATAATAATTTCTATGTTTACCTCTGATAATTTCCACACTTGGGGAACAAAAATTAACATGTGAAATGCACCAGTAATAAAGTAATCCTGAAGAAAACACGAACATGATAAACAAATTGTGGGTTATAAACTTATCCTCATCACATGATGTGTCGCAGCACAGTGGAGGATGCCGCTGAATTTTTTTTTTTTTTTTCTCATCAAGAAATTTGTTAACAGGGTGTTTCACAAGCTAGAACGAAACTATCAGAGAATAAGATAGAGAGGTTATTATCCCTTAAAATATCAGACTAGAAATACGATAGATTAAATACTGAAGTACTGTAGCAATTCTCCGGGAGTCTGTCTGCCAACCAATCAACTGCCTTGATCAGGGCCGCTGAGATAGCGGGGAAGCCAGGATAAATCCCCAAGGCCCAGGAAAGGGGAGAAATATATATTATATGTATCTGTAAAGTAGCTAATTTAATTAAATGAAATGCTAATAATAGGTACAGTACATAGAATTAGTGTTCAAACAGTTCAAAGGCCAAAAGGGGGCCCATAAATTTATCTTTCCCTGGGGCCCTGGCCAGCCAGCTCTCGGCAGCCCTGGCCATGCTATAAACTGACCCTAGACCTCAGTTGCAAGCTTCATGTGAACAAACTATAGTTTTATCTATCAGCAGCACATCCAGCTTCAAAAACCACTTCACATCATAGCCTTTAGTCATTCTCCACACCAATTCTTTCACCCCATCCTTCAATCTCCTAAAACTTAATTACTACTTAAAATCTATATGGAAGCTTACCAGTCATAAACCCCTCTGCAGAAGTTAAGACCTGGATCTGTGTTTGGTCTGAGAATGGCTTGTTCTGCTCGGTCCAGGTAAGGCCCTGCCTCATCTAGTGTTCCAGTTCTTCTCATAACCTCAACAAGTCGTGCTAAGGCTGGAAAATAAGCTGGACGGCGATCTGTAGAAAATTAATCAAAATTATGATGTAAAAATGGGGAACTGATCCTGAAATTCCATTTCATATCCAAGCATTAATCAGGTAAATCATGTACAGCACAGTCAATAAATCAATGGTTTAACAACCAAGGTTTCTAGGTTTTGACAAGTGTAACTGTATATAAATTCCCCAAATCCCCACAAAATTTATTTTTCTCAATACAACAACAGTCCATAAAAAGGGGGGCACTTGGAAGTGTCAGTTGCCAATCAGGCTGAAAACTTCACTGACATACATCTGCTGCATGATCTGAAATTGTCATTTCTTACAAAATAAATATGATTAACCTAACACAGTTAACCAATTCAGTTCTAGCTAACTTCAACATCCTAAGGGTGGAGTGAGGGATGTGAGTCACCCAACCCATGCTTGGTTATAAAATGAGATTTCAGGATAAATTTCTCATTTATAACAGAAGCAATAAATTGGATAATTAATATGTATAGCCAGCTGATGCAGAAGGGGAGGGGGAAGGCAAAAAGCTTGAGGAGTTGGTACAGGTTGTATCCAACCAAAACCAGGTTAAAATAATAACTAATCCTCTAAGCTCCAAGGTAACACTCTGTGCAAAGACACAGTACTAAATTCATCTAATTAACAGGAAATGAATACTCTACTGTATTTTTTACCTATAACCATGCACTCTGCCAGAAGATTAAAATCACTAATATGCCTCAAAGATGGGCTAAGGATGTTGTAATTTCCTTAAGATCATGAGGACTTGGTACTGTACTCAACCTAGCTGTATGAGTTTAATGGCCTTGACAATTATATTGAAGACAAAGAATATTGAGACTCCACACTTAATTCAATTATTTACAAACAAAATTGACTAGACAAGTGTGTGAGCTATAAGTAACTCTGAACTGCCTTTACTAGGCAAAAACAAATGATGAGTTCCACCGTGCAGTTTCCAAACTTGGAAATAAATTTCTTCAAATCAAAAGCTATGAGTATAGATTTTCAATAAAACTTTACACCCAGCCTGAAACTAACCCATAAAAGGGAGTGACTAAAAATAAATATGATGGATTGATCCTCAAAACATATCTTATTACAGTTTCCCCAAGAAAATCCCTAGGCCGTTGTGAAAGGTGGTAATAACAAAATCTACTACAGTACTCCCCATGATAGCCATCACTCATTATGAAACATAAGAGATTATACAGTAGTTTGCACTGAGAATTAAGAGTGCAAAGACTCATGACACCATGCAGCTCAGTCTTTTCACTCAACACACTGCATCTCATTTGACACTGTAATAAACAGTTGTTGTCCTGAGTTCTGGAAGCCAATTCTTCTATTAAGGAAGATGCCCCAATAATTGGGAACCCAACAAGATCCTCAGCAAGGAGGCCTTTGTGGGATGGGTGCCTCAAAAGTCAATTGCCAGATGATACTGAATATATCAACACTAAAAACTGGGGAGTCTAACATTACACCTGGACATTAACCTCCTAAAGCTAAGGAACCAGAGTACCTATTTTTTTTTATAGGAAATGGCCCACCCAGGCACAGGCCATCGACCCACAGTGAGGCATGGGGGGCACAAAAGTAGGAGTAAAAAGAAATTAAAAACAGAAGAGAAAAAGACTACATATATTAATCCACACCACGAAGAAACAGGACAACCAGCTTTTTGAAGTGAGGCAGACTGTAGGAGTATGGAAACACAGAAGAAGGCAGAGCATTCCACAGTTTGGCTGTATGAGGAAAGAAGGATGTACTATAATGGGTTATTCTAGAGTGACCGACATCCACACAGAAACGGTGGGCACCACGGGTAAAACAAGTGTTACGAGCCCATGGCTTTGCCAGCAGTACACAGGATGCCAAATCTACCGAACATTGCCCGTTAAAGTACCTGTAGAAGAGAGAGAGTGAAGCAACATTGCGATGAAGAGAAAGGGAAGAGAGTTAATAATAAGAAATGCCTTTGATTTCACCCTATCTAACAGTTGGACAGAAGAAGAGCCACCCCAGATATGAGACCAGTACTCCAAGTTAGGATGAATGAATCCCTTATAAACTTGAAGCAACTGCTCAGGAGTGAAGTAGCTATGGCATCTGTACAGCATTCCCAGCTTTTGGGAGGCAGCTTTAGCAATGATGTGGATGTATGGCTTCCATGACATTTTAGAGGAAATGGTGAGGACTAGCATATCTATTTTAGAATTTGGCAAAATGATTTTGGAAAGTGTAATTGGTAAATACAGTGGTCCCTTGGTTAATTAACGGTTCGAGAACGAAATTTCGGTTAACGAATTACCTCCCATAAGGATCTTCAATTCGGTTAACGAACAAAACTTCAATTAACGAAATCCTTACAAACAACACGTTTTGTTATGATCATCAGCTGATCAGCTGATGTGCTAGTCTGCCAATTCAGAAATTTGTTCTATGTTTACATTCATTTCCAGTGGAGTAAATATCAAGAAAATTGTGCTCTTTAATATTTTTGCATTTTTTATATTCAAATTATTAGTCATTTTAAAATTTAGTTAACATATTGATAATATATGCAGTACAGAAAACTATTCTTTTGTGCGCCCATCAGCTGCTTTACTCAGCCACCAGGCGTCAGTTTGGCTTTGTTGACAGTGGAGTGAACATCAATTTTGATGGTGTCTTGAATATTTTTTCATTTTTACATTGAAATTATTCCTCATTCTGAAATTTAGTTAACATATTGATAATATATAGCGCAGTGCAGTGTCGAATTAAATAAAATAATCTAGAATTACACCTAGTGAACTTAAAATTTCATTGGTGAAATAACTGCATCAAGCATGGGTCCCCTGAAAGGTGATTTCTCCTCCATGCCCACTTCCTTCTCTTCTCCATTCTCCTCCACCCCCATTTCTAATTTCCATCATCATCATCAACCAGGAACCTTCTAGTACATACACACCTCAAAGTAAGTGTACTTTACTGCATTTTTTTTTCACTATGTATGTACTTTTCTGTGAGCTGGAACCAATTACCAATATCCCATTGAAACAATGGATTCGGTTAACGAAATTTCCGGTTAACAAATGACTCAGTGGAACGAATTGTGTTTGTTAACCAAGGGACCACTGTACTGTGTTTTATTACTATTGAATTTAACCAAGTTTCTACCTCCCCATTTGGAGATGCTGCACAGATCTGCATTGTTAGATGATATGATATCAACTCTAGAAACAGATTTAGTTTGAGAGTTAGGGGGAAGGGAAAAATGTGAAGAGTAGAATCATCAGTGTAAGAATGAATACAATTAGTCGTAGTGTGAAGTAAATCATTGATAAAACGAAGGAAGAGAGTAGGTGAAAGAACAGAACCCTTGGGACACCACTATTGGTAGAGAATGAGCGAGAGAACTATCCCTCGATAGCAACTGCCATGGAATGGTTTTCAAGAAATCTAGAAATTAGAGAACAAAGTGGGGGAGAGAAACCATCAGTGGGAAATTTAGAAAGCAAAGACTTGTGTTATACCCTGTTAAATGCTTTGGATATGTCGAGGGCCATGACAAATGTTTCCCCATAATCCCCAAGAGAGGATGATCAAAGATGGGTGCAATAGCAGAGCAGATCACCAGTAGATCTCGCCTGGCAAAAGCCATACTGGTGATCCTATCTTTTATGAAGTTACATAAGGCACCAATTATAAACGGTATAAAACCACACTTTGACAAATACATAAAAACGCCATGCCTAACAACAAGAAATTTAAAAAACTGAGTGCCTAGCATTGAACCCACCTAACATTGGGCCTATAGCTCGGGCCACCCAGACCAACCACACACCCCTCCTACACAATCCCTCCGAGACCACCCACACAATCCATCCACACTGTCCTTCCTGGGACCACCAACACAAGCCATCCACACTATCCCTCCTGGGACCACCCAGACAACCCATCCACACTATCCCTCCTTCGATCATCCACACAACCCATTCACACTATCCCCCCTGGGACCATCCACACACCCAATCCACACTATCCCTCCTGGGACCACCCAGACAACCCATCCACACTATCCCTCCTTCGATCATCCACACAACCCATTCACACTATCCCACCTGGGACCATCCACACACCCAATCCACACTATCCCTCCTGGGACCACCCAGACAACCCATCCACACTATCCCTCCTTCGATCATCCACACAACCCATTCACACTATCCCCCCTGGGACCATCCACACACCCAATCCACACTATCCCTCCTGGGACCACCCAGACAACCCATCCACACTAGCCCTCCCTGTGACCACCCACACAACCCTCCTGCACTATCCTCCCAGACCACCCAGACAACCCATCCACACTATCCCACCCTGTGACCACCCACACAACCCTCCTGCACTATCCCCCAGACCACCCACAAACCCCATCCACACTAGCCCTCCCTGTGACCACCCACACAACCCTCACTATCCCTCCCCAGACCACCCACAAACCCCATCCACAATATCCTCCAGGGACCACCCACACAACCCATCCACACTATCCTCCCTGGGACCACCCACACAACCCATCCACACTAGCCCTCCTGAGACCACACACACAACCCATCCACGCTATCCCTCCTTGGGACCACCCACACTACCCATCCACACTATCCCTCCCTGGGACAACCCTCACATCCCTCCCTGTGACCACCCACACACCCCTCCCTGTGACCACCCATACAACCCATCCACGCAATCTCTCCTGGGACTACCCACACAACCCATCCACACTATCTCTCCTGGGACGTCCTGCCATATTATGGAATAAATTACGTTTGTGTTTACCTTTACTGCAAATGTTCTCTTGTTCTAACTGGGTTTTGTTTTGTTCTGTTGCAGATGTATATGGATTTATGAGTTGAATAAAGCCTTGATTACGGAAGGTGTTTGATATCATACGACAATTTATTCAACTCATATTCTACTAGCAACATGGAATGCATACTCTGCCCCAACAAGCTTGA